GAATGGTTCACTTTGTAATTCCTTTCATCGATCAAATGCTCGAACGGTTGGCAGGTCATTCTCACTATTGATTTTTAGATGGCTACTCCAGCTACTTTCAAATTCCAGTTGCACCAGAGGACCAAGAGAAGACAACTTTTACATGCCCTCAAGGATTTTTTGCATACCTAAGATGCCATTTGGGTTGTGCAACGCACCGGCTACCTTCCAACGGTGCATGACAACTATCTTCTCCAACATGATAGAAAAAAGTCTTGAAGTTTTCATGGATGACTTCTCAACTTTTGGTACCAATTTTGAACATTGTCTAGCTAACTTGTCTAAGGTTTTGCAGCGATGTGAAGAGACCAATTTAGTCCTTAATTGGGAGAAGTGTCACTTTATTGTAACAGAAGGTAGAGTACTTGGACATCGTATTTCAGCTAGGGGGATTGAGGTTGACAAAGCCAAAATTAAAGTTATAGAACGACTTCCCCCACCTAGCAACGTGAAGGGGATTAGAAGCTTCCTAGGACATGCTGGATTTTACCGGAGGTTCATTAAAGATTTTTCTAAGATCACTAAACCCTTATGTGAATTGTTAGCAAAAGACAATGCTTTCAACTTTTCTGATGAGTGTTTGCAGGCTTTCAACAAGCTTAAGAAGGAGCTCACATCCACACCCATTATCATAGCACCCGATTAGAATCTTCCATTTGACTTAATGTGTGATGCTAGTGATGATAGTGATTATGCAGTAGGGGTTGTTTTGAGGAAGCAGAAGAAAGGGAAGTTACATGCCATTTACTATGCAAGTAAACTCCTTAATGATGCACAAATGAATTATGCGACAACTGAGAAAGAATTACTTGCGATAGTTTATGCATTTGAGAAGTTTTGATAATCTTTAATGGGTTCAAAAACCATTGTGTACACTGATCATGCAGCCATCAAACACCTTCTTTCTAAGAAGGAAGCCAAACCTAGGCTACTTCGTTGGGTTCTTCTTTTGCAGGAATTTGACATAGAAATCCGTGAACAGAAAGGCTCGGTGAACTTGGTAACCGACCATCTCTCAAGGTTGGAAGCAAAATCACTTCCAATTGACAATTTGGATATTGATGACTCATTGCCCGATGAGCAACTCTTTGCCATAATAACGAAGGGAGCCCCTTGGTATGCTGATATTGCAAACTACCTCGCAACAGGTAAGTTTCATGAAACATCTAACCAACAACGCAAGAAATTTATCACTATTTCAAAGAATTACATATGGGATGATCCATTCTTGTATAAGCATTGTGACGATCTTATGATAAGACATTGCATTCCTGAGAATGAAGTCCATAGTGTACTCAACTTCTATCATACCTTAGCTACAGGAGGTCACTTCGAACCTCAAAGGACAGCAGCAAAAGTCTTACAATCAGGTTTATATTGGCTTTCTTTATTTCTTGATGCCCGTAACTTTGTTGCTGCATGTGATACATGCCAAAGAACAGGTAAAATCTCATCTAGGATGAAGATGCCACAAACACCAATCTTGGAGGTGGAGATGTTTGATCTATGGGGTATAGACTTCATGGGTCCTTTACCATCATCCTACAATAACAAATACATTCTCGTCCCTGTCGATTATGTATCAAATTTGATGGAGGAAGCCGCATTGCCAACCAATGAATCAGAGACGGTGGTGAACTTCATGAGAAAGAACTTGTTCACCCGTTTTGGAGTATCAAGGGTTGTCATAAGTGATGAAGGAACACCTTTCACAAGCCGCGAGCTGAATACACTTTTGACCAAATATGGAGTGAAACATCGCATTGGCACACCATACCATCCACAAACCAGCGGGCAAGTTGAAGTACCCAACCGCGAATTGAAGCACATATTAGAGACCACCGTTAACTCCTCTCGGAAGGATTGGTTGAGGAAGTTGGATGATGCTCTGTGGACCTATAGGACTGCCTATAAAACTCCATTAGGCATGTCTCCATATCGGCTAGTGTTTGGCAAAGCATGCCACTTACCGGTGGAGCTCGAACACAAGGCGTATTGGTCCATCAAGAGGTTGAATTATGATATGAAACAAGCCGGATAAATGAGACTCCTTCAATTGAATGAGCTAGACGAGATCTGCCTCCACGCCTATGAGAATGCCCGAATCTATAAGGAGAAAACAAAGAGGTGGCATGATCAACACATTGTAAGGCGAGAATTCAATGTAGGCGACAAGGTATTACTCTTCAAATCTCGTCCCCGCCTCTTTCCGGGCAAGTTGAAATCAAGGTGGTCCGGACCGTTCATGGTGACCAAAGTCTTCCCTCATGGTGTCATCGAGATTCTTGGTGACAATGGAGTGTTCAAGGTTAATGGCCAGAGACTCAAACAATACATATAAGGAGCATCTCTATTGGAGATCTCCTCTTATCGCCTAAACTAAGCCATTCTAACGTCGAACTAATGACGTTAAACAAGCGCTTCTTGGGAGGCAACCCGAGGTTTGTTTTCCTTGCAATTTTTTTCTTCATAATTTCACTTTGTAGGACGTTTGAAGGATCTCCAAAAAATTTGAGCTCAAAATTCGTTGAGGAATGTATTTTTCCATTTTTATAGGTGCATTGGCAGAATGCTTTGGTGAAAATGTGCAGCGGAGAGATGCTTTTTGCAGTGGAGAAATGCAATGTGGGGTGGAAGGTAACACTGATCGACTTGAAGTGCTAAAACGCAATGAAGAAGAAAGGAGGGACCATGAAGCACTTTTTTTTGTCTATTAAAAAAATAAAAAAGGAAAACAAAGGGGTGTGCACGGTTGCACAACCCAAAAAGAAGAAAAAAATTATAAAAAATAAAAAAACAAAATTCGAAAGAGAGAGAGAGAAAAGAAGTGGCGAGAGATTGGAGTTTCGTTTGCAGAAATAAAAAGTTAAAAGAAATTAAAAAAGAATAGAAAAACGAAAAAGTGTAACCCAGAAAAAGAAAAAAAGCCTCCTGATTTCTCTCTCCTTAATCCCCTCCCACGTTTTTTTCTTCTCCTTCTTCTTCTCCCTCTTAGTTTTCTTTTTTGTTCTTCTTCCTTCTTCTCCTATTCTTCCAAAAATCCGACCAAAGTTTTCAAATTAATCCTAAACTTCGGTCCATCCATCAATTTCGTGACCCACTCTCTCTATCAACCCAACCAATTCTCCTCATTCCTCTGATAGAACCTGGGATTAGGGTTCTATCGTGTCTGGTCGTGAGATTGGGATTTAGGGATTAATAACAGAATTAGGGATTTGAGAAGAGAAAGATAGAGAATCGGCCTAGGCCTTTAGAGGGATTGAGATCTAGAATTGAGAGGATTGGGAGAATAGGGTTTAGGAGATTGTTTTCTTAATATTTTCTTGATTGATCCTGAATAAATCACAATGTACATACTTATAGCTAAAGACCGGAAAAACCTAATAGGCTATCCTAATACGACTCGATGACTACTATCCATATATAATAATATCCTAACAAATAGTAATTATGATAGATACCGAAAATTGGGTTTCTATCATCTCCCCCCCCCCCCTGAGACCAACCTTGCCCTTAAGGTTGATCGATTAGCCCACTGCTCCACCTTTCTCACGTAGTCTAGGTGTCGAATCCTCCGCTTTCTATGTTTCTATTTGCGCTCCAATTCGCGAAGAAACTCTTATCGAGAAGCTCCAACATTCCTCGACACTTCTCCACCCACGTGATACATGCCACGTTCTCCGTAGCTGAACAATTTTTCCTCTTCATTTTTGAAATACACGAAATAAGAATTGAAAAACTGTTCTTCGATACACTCCAGTTTGAGGTCTTCAAGGAAATGCCCCACAAATCCGTCCATGGATTTGGTGGTGAAAACAGCCCATGACTTTTCTCCACCTTCTCTTCCTTCACCTTGATCTATGCCCACATCTACATGGAAGAAGGGATGGTGACCCAATTGATTGTCAAGTCTCTTTGTGTTCTTCTTCTTAATTTCATTTGGGCTTGACTTACTTGCAAGCCCATCTATACCCATAAGAACTCCCTCCAAGCCTGCTTTCCTCCAAACACAATCCATGGTGGGCTCATGACAACCTCCTTGTTCGGCCTACTTCGCCCATTTAACATTAGCTAAGGAGCCACTTGATCTCGACCCGAACCCAGGCTTCAACTCAGCCCATTCTGACGATTCAAGCCCACCGAAGCCTCTCCAGTGAGTCGACTTGCTTTCTCCTAGCCCCCATGCTGGTCCACTCAGCTTTAGAGGCCCACTCCACTTGTTTGACTGGCCCATGATCAGCCCATGCCAAACCCTAATGAGCTCAAGCTTTGGCCCTCTGTAGCTGCTCAGATGAGCTTCAAAGGAGAGAGAAAGACGTCGCAGCTCGTAGGGAAGATGTGGACCGCCGTCTTCCTCCTTTGTTTCTCTAGCCGGCGGCAAACAGAGCACCAGCCAGCGAGGAGAGAAACCCAACTTCGGCCTCGTCCTGGCCTTCACTTTCTCGGCCGTCGACGTCTCCGCCTCCGGCGGCGACTGGCTTCTTCGGCACCGAGCAGAGAGTCCCACCGCCGTGCTTCTTCTTCTCCCTTCTCAGCGGCAAGAAACTCCTCCGACGACACAGGGGCAGGTCAGCTACCGATCTCATCCTCGACGTTTCTACCCGCGATGCCTTCTTCTCCGTCTCTTTCCCTGGCGGCGATAGTCTCCTCAGGCAACGGAGAGAAAAACTCGACCCGACCACCCTCAACCTTGGATCCTTCTCTTTGAGCTCTCCTCTTGTCGTAACCCGGTCTGACATTCCCTCCTCTTCCTTCAGCCGCGAGAACTCCATCCCGCGGTGGCGCGTCCGACCTGTTTTTCAACCAACTGGGGCCAAAGCCTCCAGCAATTGAGCTCCCCTCTCCTTATTTTTCGGTTTCCGGGGCTTCAAGCCAACTTTGGGCCCTTGATTCTTCTCCCTCCTCTTCCAATTGATCCTGGCATTCCGCACCAGGAAATCATCAATTGAAGCTCTGGGTGCCTAGAAATTCACCTGAGAGGTGTCACCAACTTTCAGATACGATTTATCCTCCTCCGCGCATGACGATACCGACTCTACCGAGCTCATTGTAATCTTCGTGTCCACCACAATAGTGATTGGTGGTGGTGGTAACACTGTGTTCAGAACGACAATGATGGCTACTGATGATGGCGCCATCATCTCTGCCGAGGACAAGGCCTTGCCATTGAGGGTTGGCTGTTCGGTAATGGTGATGATGTTGGTAATGGCAGGCGCCATTGTCGTGACCTTTGCGGTTGGTGTCATGGTTGTGGCTTCATCATATTCTTCTTCGACGGCCGCTAAAAGAACAATAGTGATGTCCTCCGTCGGTGATGGTGGTGGTGAAGCCGTCACGGTGGTGGTGGGTGGCTTGGTTCGCCGCAGTGAGTCGAGGATTCGTAACATCTTTTCCATCAACCGCAGTTGCTCCTACCGACCGTTGTTGCCACTTCTCCTCCCTCTTCTTGAGGCCATCCTCGAGTTTGATTAGTTTCTCGTGCAACTTGTAAAAGCAGTCCCCGAGTGAGAGCCATGATGAACTCATGCTCGCAGCCAGGTTCTGATACCAAATGATAGAACCTGAGATCAGGGTTCTATCGGGCCTGGTCGTGAGATTGGGATTTAGAGATTAATAACAAAATTAGGGATTTGAGAAGAGAAAGATAGAGAATCGGCCTAGGCCTTTAGAGGGATTGAGATATAGAATTGAGAGGGTTGGGAGAATAGGGTTGAGGAGATTGTTTTCTTAATATTATTCTTGATTGATCCTAAATAAATCACAACGTACATACTTATAGTTAAAGACTGGAAAAATCTAATAGACTATCCTAATACGACTCGATGACTACTATCCATATATAATAATATCCTAATAAATAGTAATCATGATAATTATAATAGATACCAAAATTTGGGTTTCTATCATTCTCCTTCTCCATCACTTTTGCCCAATTTCCAAGGTTTTCTAAAACCCAAATTCTGCTCATCAAATTGACAGAAATCCTTCTCCATCAACTCGAAAAGACTCTAGTGCTCATGGGTTCGCCAGGAATTGATTAGAAGAGAGCATATTGCTTGTTGTAGGCTCTGGTGAAGTACAAAGTTTGAGAAAAGAAGAAGAAAACTTGGGTCTCCTCTATATTTGGAGGAAATAACTCTGGGAAGCAACCATGGTGAGGAAGAAAAGGGCTGGAGTCTGCTATTTTCAATTGATTGATTGGAGCATTGAAGGAAAGACAGAATTCAGAAAATGGAATATAATTTACTCCTTAGATCTTCTCTCTGAAACCAGTCTAGTTCCAGAGCCTAGACCAGAAGTTGTCGGAGTTGAAATTCCACCCACGTTTCATAGGGTTGTCAGAGGAAGCATTGGGAAGAAGAGAGTAGAAAGAATTATGGTTATGCCTCTATCGGAAGGATCAAAACTTCTAATGATGGGAGACTATGTTCATGCCTCAATGGACACCTTTGACGATTCAATGGAGCTGCCATATGAGCACCAAAGCTGCAACAGTCATGTACCTCCACCACAAGCCAAGGAAAGTGCCAAAAGCAAGCTGGGAGAGCCACCATTGAAGCAACCACGTTCCAACAACAATGCACCTCAATCGGAAAGAAAACAAAAGGCTAAATACAACAAAAAGAAGCCATCATCAAAGAGGCAAGCTCCCTCTCACAATCTACAGCCCAACCAAGAAGTAAAAAGGTCAAAACTACTCCAAAATCTAAACCGACAGCTACAAACATCGGAGTAGATGTCTCAAGAACTTTCGGTAAACCTCTCATTTCTCCTAACATATGGAGAAATATAAGATTCTTCTTGCTCGGCCGGCTATTCCCTCTCAATTTATGGATATGGATGTGCTGAGAATTACTAGAATAGAGAAGAATGTGTTGAATTACTTCAGAAATATGGGCTGACCTAGATTTCAAGAATTGAGGTTTCATACTTATGAGAAATTGACAAGAGCATTTCTAGCTACATTGGTTTTTCACAAAGATGGAATCAACAACAAATTCCAGTTTTCTTTGGGAGGCAAGAAATTTGAGTTGTCATTGAGCCAAGTGCACAAGGCTTTGCTGTTTGATGGAGTAGCAACAACAGAACCAGAATCCCCTTATGATGAAAAAGCCTTTTGGAGAAGAATTGCAGATGATGATAAAGAGTTCTACTCGCAGAAAACAAGAAGAAAACCCATTCGGGATCCTGCTTTGGTGATGGTACATGAGTACCTATGCCGGACAGCCTTGTGTCGTGGTTCCGACAACCCCGGTGTACACAACATCGACCTCCGCTTCCTCTACAATTGTGTCACGAAGACTCCACTCAACTTGGGATATTGATTGGGAGTTCTTCTTGGTGAGCAAGCCTTAAAAGGATCAAAGGGCAACATCAGATTTGGAGGAATCATTACTGCTATAGGTCAAGCTTGTTACGGATTTCCCAAGAATCCAAATGGCATCGACAAATGCGAGGGAACCATAATAATCGAACAAAGAACTCTATCAAACATGAAATACATAAGAAGAATCACATCAAGAGGAAGGTACGTATCGATACCCGAGTTCAAAAAAATCAAGGAAGAGCAAGCAAAAGCCAAGGCGGAGAAAACCACCACCAAGGATACAACGCAAGAAGATGAGTTAGCTGTTGCCCGTGCAATAGTAACCTTGGAAGTAGTTGCTAGCACCTCAACAGCATCTTCAAGAACTCCCCCAGCTGATCCAAATTGCCCCACAAGCACCCCAACATAAGGCACTCACCCGACGAACATCATTGCTCAGCTACAACAACTGGAGCAACAAGATCATAAGTACCAGCAGCAGCAGCACCAAAACAACACCCAACACCAACTCATTCAGAAAATGGCTGAGCATCTCAATAATAGTGGAATTGATTTCCCGAGCGACCTTCCACCACCTCCCACCTCATCTGCCCATCATTTGTCCTGAGGTTTTTCATCTTTCCTTGTGCTTACTTTTTAATTTGGTGTTAGCATGTTAGAGTCTAAGTACAGAACATCAGGGACAATGTTACATCCTAAGTGTGGGGTGGAGAGTTTTAGTTTAGTTTTTAGTATGTATTATATATAATGTTTGGTGAATGTGAGTCGTTCCCACTTTGTTAGATGTGTTGTGTCTTGAACTTGATAGGGTATAATGTTGTTGCTTGAAATGTTTGTGTGAATGGTTTGTGAACTTATAATGCTTCGGTGTATGCATTTGCCTTTCGTTTATCCCAAGTTAACCTTGAAATGCATAACTTGTGCGTTCAAGTAGGATTGCCTATTTCACAAGATGTACCTTCTTATTAAAATTCACCCACTAGAATTGAATTGTGCCCGAACTTAGGAGAAATTGAGTATGATCTGTATAGAGTAGGGTATGGCATCTAATAGCCGTGAGTTTGAAACTTCAACGTCAATTTCATATTGTGTGAAGTTTTTCATCGCTTTGTGTTTTGGTAATCTTGATCAAAACCACGAATGGGCTGTGTTGTATAGATGCAAGCATAAACGATAGAGATAATTAGTACAACTTGAGCCAAAAAGCCTACCATATCATTGACAACTAGGATCAACCTTTGAGACAAGTAAGATGCTGCCAAGTTATCTATTGCACGGGCAGCAACTAATTCATCTTCTTGTGTTGTATCCTTGGTCGTGGTTTTCTCCGCCTTGGCTTTTGCTTGATATTCCTTGATTTTGTTGAACTCAGGTATCGATACGTACCTTCTTCTTGATGTGATTCTTATGTAGTTCATGTTTGATAGAGTTCTTTGTTCGATTACTATGGTTCCCTCGCATTTGTCGATGCCATTTGGATTCTTGAGAAATCCGCAACAAGCTTGAGCTATAGCAGTAATATTTCCTCCAAATCTGATGTTGCCCTTTGATCCTTTTGAGGCCTGCTCACCAAGAAGAACTACCAGCCAATAGCCCAAGTTGAGTGGAGTCTTCGTGACACAACTGTAGAGGAAGCAGAGGTCGGTATTGTGTACACAGGGGTTGTCGGAACCACGACCCAAGGTTGTCCGACATAGGTACTGATGTACCAGTACCAAAGCAGGATCCCGAATGGAGAGGTAATCATCGGCCGAGCAAGAAGAGTCTTGTATTTCTCCATATGTTCAGGAGGAATGAGAGGTTACTAAAAGTTCTTGACCTTTTTACTTCTCTGTTGGGATGTAGGTTGTGAGAGGGAGCTTGCCTCTTTGATGGTGGCTTCTTTTTGCTGTCTTTGGCCTTCTGTTTTCTTTCCGGTTGAGGTGCATTGTTGTTGGAACGTGGTTGACACGCTATGACACAACTTCTAACAATGGCCAAGTGTAACCACTAAAAGGGACTGCAATATAGTGGCTCAAGTAATAAATATCGAATCCACGGGTCTCTAGAGTTATTATTACTCAGCTTCAGTTCATTATCTAGCAAACCAGATTAAGATGGAACAACTAAAACTACTCTAAAAAATTATAGTTAAAGTTAATCTAATTACAGGTTGGGAACTCACTTAGGTATGATTCCCCCTAGCCACTAGCCACATTAATGATTGATGATTTCTAACTTGTTTCACTTTCATTCACAATGCGGAGAATCCTTGACTAGACCTTGAGTCTCAACTAAAGGAACAAGGCCCTCTTGAGTCAATTGCCTAGAGGGACGTATCCTTCTCTAGAACAACCGATCAAGGCGTTCTGAACTAGACTCCCTCTATCGAATGAGGTTCTCAATCGATACAAAGCAGTGAATCAACCCTCGACTAAAGCAATCGATCCAATAATATCAATCTATGGTGCTCTATTGACCTAATCAGGTATTCGCTCTCATAGTATCAAAGCAGAATCAATAATCTCGACTAAAGCAGAATTGAATCATGAAAACGTGCATAGATTGAATATGAAATCAAGATTATCAAGTAGGAGTACTCATACAATCATCCAATCAAACAAATATAGCTAGGGTTCCTCAAAACCTAAGTGAAGGGAAGTTACTCCATAGAGAAGAGAGAGACTGCAGTATGAATCTTCAGATGATCAGTCTTCAAGTCCAGGCTTGTTCCTTGAGCTTCCAAAGCGAAGAAATCATCCAGTTCCACTCCAAGAATGCCCTCAAATATCCCTCTCTCTCTCTCTCTCTCTCTCTCTCTCTCTCTCTCTTTCTCTCTCTCTCTCTCTGGTTCGTCTCTTGGGTGTTTGGGATCCAAAACCCAGCTCGCCCTTTCTTTTGGCTTCAACTTGCCTCAAAAACCCGATTCTGGGCAAAACACGGTCGAGGACACGGCTGTATTTTACTTTTGCCCGCCCGTGTTTTGCCCCCAGCAGGCCTCGTCGGCTAAAACACGGTCGTGTTTTTCTTTAGGCCAGCCCGTGTTTTTACTGCCGAACCCGTTCCCCTATATTCAATGCT